GTCAGGTGCCTTGGCTACGCCCTCTCCCAAGATCTTGCCCCCTTCCAGCCCACTGGTGGTGGTGGTGGAATGTGGGGGAGACAGCCTTGATGCTGTTCGAGCACTGCTCAGCAGTGGCCGAAACATTGGTGTGTTATCAACCCCTTTTTACACACCAGTAGAAAGCACAGCACTAGCACTATGCAGCTTGACCCAATACACTGGTATAACCAGACAGGGAACTTCTAAGTCAGCTTCTGTCTCAGTGACTTGAGAGGACTCTAGGACAGTTACACCAGCAGCACACTTAGCCCATCCACATGGGCACAGTCTGTGAACCCTTCTACAGCAAGCTGCACATCTGTCACTGTATATGGGTGCAGAGTGGTCATGCTGACATCTCTGGTCTCTCCAGGAGCATCGGCAACAAGACTTATTATGGAGAGGTCACAGGGAAAGAAAAGAAACATAGCAGTGATGACAAAGCAAAGCACAAGAAGCCTCCGAGCCCTACAGATGGAAGGTAAGTGTCATGCATCTGTCTGTGTTCTGGGAAGCGACATACTCTCCTCCCATCTTTATTTTGTCTGCTTTGGCATACCCATCCATGGATTTACAGGAAGAAAGAACTAAACAGAATGTTGTTCACACTGCCGAGTGTCATTCCCATGCTCCAAATCATGTAAAATTGCATGTGGCCTTTTCTAGCCCTGTTACACAACATTTTCACATCCAAGATGATCCAGGATGCACTTGAGAGGGAAAGAAAACTTGTTACTTCCTGAATAGAAGGCAGAAAAATTAAGGCACACAGAAGTTCAATGAGTTACGACTTCAAGACTACAAAGTTAGCCAGTGGTAGAACCGGAGGTAGCCTTTTGTAATTATGTTTACTTGCCTTATTCTCGGAGCTTGGCTGCGTTTAGTCCTCTTGGACAAGCATTGGCAGAAAGTCTCATCCCTTTAATAATCTTAAAACCTATATGTTCACCTAAATGCACTTCTTCAGCAGCACTCTAGGCTATTTTCCCCCTTCTAATTTCACCCAAATAGCTCTCAAAGGTGTGCACCGTTGGATGGATTTTGTTGCTCTGGGAAATCCTGCATTATTCCCAGTTACCTGGGACAGTAGCACTATTCCAACATGAACACATGATCAAGAACAGCTAAATGGACTATGATTTTCAGACCAGAGAAATGATAAACTGTGGGGATGCAGAGGTCTGACAGAGGTCTGAATTCATGAGTGGTATGTGGAAGGAGAATAAGGAATTTTTATTTTCTGCTTTTCATAGAAAAACTAGGGAAAATTGAATGAAATCGCCAGGTGTCAGGTTCAAGATGGCCAAAATAAGGTATTCTTTGCATAAGTTGTGTTCCTTGCCACTAGGAATTGTGGATGCTAAACTTAATGTGGCTTCAAAGAGTGACTAGATGAATTTTGGTAGGTAAAATCCATGAGGAACCTTTAGTGAAGGATGCTGTCTCAGGATCCAGACGCAGACTGTCAGAACCTGAAAGAATTCTGTATTTCTTTTGAAGCACTATATTTCTCTTGTCCTGCCCGGTTGCATCTTCCGTAGGTGATTACTACCCGTCATTGTTAGACCACTGGTATGACCCAGAGATGTCATTCCAACCATCCTAAAGGCTAACATTAAAAAAAAAAAATATCTTTTTATATGTGTTAGAGAAATCAAAGTCTCAAGTCCTTCTCAGCACTCACTGAACTGTGGGCATCACCAACATTTCTGAATTTACCCCTACACATTAAAAGTTTCCATTCTTTTTATGTGGCTTTTTTATTTTCCCTTCACAAATAGCAGTGCCTGGCATCACATCAGTGCCTGGTAGCTGGACCCTACAGTGCACTGTATGGGAGGCAGAACACCTTAAGTTATCCCTGTTTAACACAAGGGCAGGCAAAGCCAATAAGGGCTAAAGGTGGGAATTCATCTCACTTCGAACCAATGAACAGAAAGCTGACTGTCAGTTGCATGCTGGGTGACTGATGGCACACTGTGGTCAATCAGAAGAGTCCTTTTAGAGATGTGTCCAGTGGTGGAATTGTCTTAAGGGTTGCATTTCTCCCCATTGAGTGTGTAGCTATAAACAGCTAATATTAGGGAAGAGGAATTCATTTGTACTTTGCTTAAGATATTGCAGTGAGTCAGCAGTGGCAAAGTCAAGAATTGAATATGGGTCTTGCAAATCCTCTATGTAAGAAGCCAAGAGACAGCCTTTCCTCTGGCCCTGCTGCATGTTATACACGTCTGTCATAACCTTCTCCGTAAGAAGTAATCTCATCTTTTAAGACTTTTCCTTCTGTCGAAACCTCCTATGTGCCCAAGGCTTTGTGAAGCATTGGGGTGTTTTCTTTCTTGCTGTTTTTGCATATTCAATGATAGGAAACACTTTTATTGGACCAACAAAATCCAGATTCATCATTCACTCGAGGAGATAGTATGTGATGTGTATGGGGTGTGAAGGTGTCTTTGGATTTTCCTTCCAGGGAGAATGGCTATGAGACATTCAAAGCTTCTGTCTTCATTCCTCGCAAGATGCAGGCCAGGTTCCTACTGCATTATGAAGAGCTTTTGCAAAGACGACTGGGAAAATATGAGTATACAGTCAGCGTCCGTCCCCAGCAGCTGGTGGGGAGGTTACGAGTGGAGGTGAACATCCTGGAGAACTCAGGCATCGTTTCACTGGAAGTGCCTCCCCTTCGAAACAGCAAGCATAAAGGCAATGGGAAAGTTGAAGGTAAGGAGAGATTTTATGACCCACAGTTCTGTTACTCGTGGGGCCTTAATCACTTCTCAAGCACCGGACTAGCACTGTTGGGAGTTCTCCAAGGCAATCTTGGATAATAGTGTAGACTGGTGTTTCATTCACATACCCTCAGCTCCAAACGAGGCATTAAACAAAACCCCAATATTGTATTAAAGCAGCATTGTCTAGGATCAAGACTGTATTAAAAACTAGAGGACACATCTTATGAAGACAACAAGAAAAATGAAAGCTAGCAGCTCATTAGGCATAAATTATTCTGGCAAATCCCAGCTATGACTTTATTTAGAAAGATACATTTTTTACTTTCCCTTCTTAACTCTTGCTGCACTCACTGTATGACAGGCACATTCCACCCCGGAGGTGGCTGCATTTGAGTGACAAGCAAGTCTCTAAGCATTGCAGGCCATCAGCAATTCCTATTTGGAGATCTCTCATTCACTGGCAGGGCAATCTCCAGGTTCGTGAAAGCTGGTATAATGGCTACAACGTGAAAGGGATTTCAGGATTATGAAACTCTGTGCGGTTCAGTGGTGGAAATTCAGTCTTATAATAAAGGCTGACGGCTTTTGTTCTGTTTTCTATAGACGAATGTGTCTGTGTGGTATCTGTGCATAAGCATGTGAGAACTTTGAAGTTTAATGAATATAAGGCTGATCCCATTCAACTCAATGGGATTTTTTTTTTTGCTATTGTCTTTATGAGCTTTGAACTGGGCCTTCAGGCCTTGTGCTCAGCATTTGAGCAGGCTCTTCCCTGGCTCCACATCCCCTGGGAACTGTTTATTTTAAATGAATTGTTTTTTCCATCCATCTATGCCAAGGCAGATAGGAAATCCTGCATTTTAGAACATGGGAAATTCCAAGAGGAAAAATCCATGATTTGCCAAAGCACTAAGGACTGTCCAAGCATCTACTCTTACCCCCAACTGTCTTCACTCACTGTTCAGACAGGGTAAAGGTAATTTTTCTAGTGTAAACTAACAGTGAGGAGCACAGGATGCTGTGATTGCTACATGTTGACAAAAAATCCTCACCAAAAAAAGAGGGTGATTCAGAGCTGGAAGCAGGATGTGGAGTCTTGTGGGACTTGATCCTCAGTTACTCTAAGTGACATAATGCCAGCAAAATCAGTGGAGCTGTTCATGTCTGCCAGGTAAAGACCCTAAAGCATGTGAACATGGAGTTATACTGATTGCTTAGTATGATCCCACTGATTTCATCCAAATACCATTGAAATCAAGGCTTTCAGTGCCTTGGAGTAGCTTAAGGTCAAGCCTTACACAACTAATTAGTCTCTCTGCCATATATCCATGAACTGTGTTATAAATGTGCTCTGCCCCTCATCAGGAGGGACAGGAAACCTTCACCTACCAGGGAGTACCATAGTGCATTGTGGTGTATGGTTTCCTGCAAAACATCTGGCATTGATCAAGGTTAGAGACAGACTAAGCAGAGCAGACATAGTGTTGCTGTAGTGCAGCATGGAAATTCCTATATGTAAATGACATACAGGGAAAACTCTCCGAACTTGCTCTCCGAATGGCAATTTGTGAGTGCTGGTCATTCTTGGCACTGTGCTTCAGATTTAAAACAGCTCATATAAAAATGGGCCCAAGCTCAAAGATTCCATAATCCTAACTAGCCAGTAAAATGGTTATGAAATAGATGTCCCATTTCAGCATGGGTAAAGCAACTGAAACTCAGATTCCCTGTGCTTTACCCATGCTCAGAATTCAATTGCAGACCTTTTCTATCTGGAATCATCCTATACAGTTGGTGAAAACTGCTGTGTTGAAATCACTGCTACGGAAGTCATTGAAATGCCAAACACACTTTTGTGGTTCATCAGTCAGGAGTGGCCTGTGTCTCTGCCAGATCAAGTCTTCATTGGTACTCAGGTGTGTGCCACTCAGATGAGTGTATAGGGTTAATGAATTCAGCAGGTTTGATGAGCTTCTTTCTGATATAAAGCAAGATGAGGAGATTAGGACACTATCAGCAGCCAGACCAAAAAAAAAAAAAAAGAATTGGCAGAAGGTCTCAGAAGGGTCTAATATAGGTTGCAGAGAACGACAGCTTGTTTTGGATAGGAAGGATTTATTGCTTGTGACCTCTTCTGGCCAACAAGATCAATCACACTCGGAGCAGACAACAGGAACCTACTGCCTTCCTAAACACAAATGGAAACCACAAGAATACTCCTAGGGAGGGCAAGGCCAAGGCAAGGAACATTTCACTTGGAAATCCACTATTCCAGCTGGCTGTCACCTCTCAAGCTTGATCCAAAAAGCAAACCATATGAGTCATTAGATCCTCCCTCCAAAGCCCTCTTGCTCATACAACATCTAAAGACCCAAGAGCATGAGATCTGCACATCCAGTGAGACCTCCAGGGAAGGCTATGGATTTTTAAGTGAAAGACAGATGAATTGCGAGTCTTACATTTAAAGAGCGGCTGCTTGGCACATAATCTGCAATATGGGAATATACCAGGAAAAAGACAGTGTCTGGTCTCTTCTTGGATTCCTGTGGCTTAAAACTCTTCAGTGTCAGTTGACTGGAGAGCAATGTAAGAAGCCAGCAAAGGGTGCCAGACCAGATGCTGCCATACTGTGCTACCTGTGGTGCCCCAAATGAGAGGTCATGACTTAAAAAATGACCAAATAAGGAACAGAGGCCTGCACATTAACAATTGTACTGCCTGAATGGTTTGAGATTGAATATGTCATGAAAACTCTCATCCTCAATTTCCTATGTCTACAAAGATATCTATAGTATCTCACAGTTAATAATAAAATGTGATATTTTGATAAAAATTAATAAATTACCTTGAGAGTATTGGGTGAAATATGTATTGTGACATTAAGTCATCAATTAAATGGAATTCTGAGTAATACGTCCAAAAGTCCACCAACCTGAAACCATTGTTGAGGATGGGATGTAGCTTCACAAATCATTTAGATACTTTCAACTCTGACTGACCTGGATAAGAAACTACATCCTTTTTCTGAATACAGGTCCTGAAGACCCAGTGTAGGACAGGCCAATTAAGTTGAAAATCAAATACATTTGGCTTTGGAGTCATCCACAGCTCTGATGAGCACTAGCAGTGACTGGTGTTCATAACTGAAATGCCAACCTGTTGTGGCAATAAACACTGCGAACAAAACTAATAACAATAGTTTAGAGGACCAGAAGTGGAGGAATGGCTGATCTGCCTTTATTTCATGGACTAATCCTCTTACATTTGTGGTGCTTTCTACGTGCTGTCCATAGAGCCAATGTACCATGCAGGAAGCATAGTGGAAAAAACAATTTCTCTGTTTAATGGTCGTTCAGGACTTGCGCTTTTGACTCCAGCCAAACTGCTAGTATCCATACAGTCTGTGATGAACAGAAGAGTTGAAACTTAAAGACCTGTAGACAGAAGACGTCCCTTGATGAGAAAGAGTGAAGGACACTTTTTTTTTTTTTTGCTATTTATAAAGCAGCACAGAAATCACAGCAGTAGGAGCAGCAGCAGTGAAGAGTCCAATTCTGCCCGGTTTTGGCTGTACGGGCCCAAGACACAAAGATTGGACTTGGCTTCACAAAATTCCAGTGATTTATGAAAAGTAAAGCTGTGCTTTGCTATAGGTAGAGGCTCTTGGAAAGTCCTGCATACATCCTCTCTAAATACGGAGCAAAGCCAATGTGATGACAGGTCTTCCCAGGATATTTCCTTCATCAGTGACTCCTGTGCACACAGCTCCATCTGGGAATTGTATTTTTCCCAAAGGAAGATATTAGGCATGTGAGTTTTGGCAAGTGATCTTTTGGCATGAGCAGGCGTTGTCTTCTGTCACATATGGAACCCAAAACAGGAGATGTTTAGGCCAATTGTCCTGGTTTTCTTTGGTGACCTCAGAATGGAGCCATTTTCTGGATTACGTCCTACCCAGCACCCTCAGGGATGACTGTCCTCACCCTTTTGCTCCAGTGCGCGGTGTGAGAACTAGTCATGGACTTGGGCAGGGAGACACTGGGCTGCTTGAGAATAACTATTTATCTTCACAGTCATAGGTCTCAGAAAGGTTTTTATTTCTTATCACCTTTGTCTAGAAGTTTCCATGTATTAGCAGAGGATGAACTTTGCATTTCAGCTCTAATCCTGACTCTGCCAGTCTCCAAAATAATTTAGGTTTAACTGCTCATAATGTGAGTACCACAGTTTCACAAGAAAAATGCTTTTTCCTGCTCCGTTTATTTCTTTAGCTGAATCTGGTGGAAAGTTTGTCTAAAGGCCCTATAAACTACCTCAGCATGAGCACAGACCAGCTCAAGTCTTTGGAGCTCATCCATACCCTCTACTCTGCAACGTCTCAGAGATTTTCCTCTCTCAGTCACTTGTTTGAAAAGAACTGGGCCAATAAGCAGAGGAGAGTTAATTGTGATCCAGATATCAAGTGCTGCCTAAAAAAAGAAACCTGGGGGAAGACACAGTAACTGTATTCAAACATATAAAAGGCTGCTGCAAGGATGAAAAATACTGTGCTTTCTGTGTCAATGACATAAAGAACAAGGAGTCATGGGTTTACAACCCAGACAGAAAAATGTAAATTAGACATTGAAAATGTCTAACAGTGAAAAAATTAAACTCTGGAAAAGACTGGCAAGGGCACGTCCTGAGTTTCCATTACTGGCGGCTTGGAATGTTTCCAGACTATGTCATAAAACCAGGTAGGAAGGGATTTGGTCTGGGAATGTGGGATGAATTAGATAACCTGCCTTCCAGACCTGATTTCTATTATTCCAGGAAGAAAAAAAGTTAGTTTGGACCTTTTTTATCAGACTATTTTTTGGTTTTAATCTCCACCCTGGAGATGGGAGATGAGTGGCTATGAAGAAGGTGGGAGAGCTTCCCCAGCTATTCTTGTCACTGGCACTGGCTATGTGAGGCAACCTTGGAAACCTCCACTCCAGGGGTTCCTAAAGCACTGTCGGTGTTACAGGGAATGACATTTCTCACCTCCAAAAAGTATGTGAGGAGTAATAGAAGAATGCAGTGTGATCCACATGATCCCATCTAGATTCCACAGTGCTTTACAAAACTAGATACGTGTGATTATGCCCATTTAACAGGTGGGGAAACTGAGGCATGGAGTGGCTACCTAACTCAGCTAATTTCAGATGGTCAGAGTCCATAGAAATCATGGAATCATAGAATCATAGAATGGTTTGGGTTGGAAGGGACCCCTAGAGGTCACCCAGTCCAACCCCCCTGCAGGAGCAGGGACACTGCTAACCAGATCAGGTTGCTCAGAGCCCCGTCCAACCTGGCCTTGAATGCTCGGACTGGAACTCATGCTGTTGTGGTGCACAGCATATTGTGCTCACCCATCAATGTACTTAGAGCAGAGAAGCACAGAAGTGGAGTCCAAAGGCCACAGGCACAGATGTACATGTACAGTATAGTATATGCTTATACTTATATGTGCTTCTATAGTATAAGAAGAGAGTTTCTGTTTCCAGTGTGAGGCTGACTTTCACTAGCCCTGATGTGATACGGGCAGGCAGCTCAACCAGTGACAGTGCTTGCTTTTCAGCAGTTGAGAAGTAATGTGAAACCCTCAAATAGATCAGAAAGTATAAACAAACTGTTAAGCCATTTCTATGTATTCTGGCATTTCCCGCACACTGGCAGTTAAATGGGATTTTGGAAGTGATAGAAGACAGATGGAAAGTCCAGGGAGGCCAATACAAGCAAATCTGATTAATTGTGTATTAAAAACATGTTACATCTGTTGATTCATCAGACCAAAGGGCAGCTATAAAAGTAAAAGCAAATCAAGATAGAGGTAAAAATCTTACAGAGCTATTGATTTATGACTTTTCTTTGTCAGGAGAAATCTGAACTGTACACAGATTTTAGAAAAAATGTCAAAGCTCTGGGTAAACATTTTATAAGCTGCCTTTAAGATCCAACTCTAGTGACCTTAAGTGATTTCAGTGTACTGGCTGGGGCCTCGCTCTCTGCGTCAGGATGGATGGATCGGAATTAGGGTAGTCAGAGAAGCCATGATGCAGAGTCAATTCTTGATTTTACTGAAATTGAGTAATATCTGTCATTCATCCTCCTTGGTCAAGACTTTTGTTGATGAGTTCGTTTCACATTCCAGGTCCTCCAACTATAATTTATTTCTGTAGAAATTGGGCCTGTGAGAAAAACCTTCCCTGCCTCGCTAGTATGGTCTGGTGCCTTGTCTATTCAAGCGTGCTCACAGGACAGCTATAAAAGTAAAGCCAAATCAACATGGAAGTAACAGCCTAGAGTGCTATTGATTTATGACTCTTACTTTCATTTGTTTGCCTAGAGTAGTCTTTTCTTTTCCCTGCCATACCACAGACTTCTTGGGCCATCTTTGGCAAAGATTTGAGATCCCCACACATAGTATAATTAAGCAGCTCATCCCCATCAATTTTAATGAGCACGCGAGCAGATAAAATAGAACTTTGTGCCTCAGAGGAGTGTTGGAGTAATCACTGTGAGAGTTGAAGCACCCAAGAAGAACAGCAGTTGAGAATCTATTTTGGTGTTTTCAATAGCTAGTTAGGATAAGGGGGAAAGCCATCAAAATCTGGGGAAGTTCAAGGCCAAATATGACCTTTGGTCAGTCTCGTGTAAGGGTCCTTAGGGAGTTCAGAGGGAATGGATGGTTGGAACACCAAAAGAGAGTAGGGTGGGATTTTGGCCACACAGAGAAACAACAAGGAATCTCCATATCCCTCAACTTTGGAAAATGAACACAGCTAACAAGACAAACAGAGGTTCCTTCAGGGGGACTCAGATCTAAATTATTGTCTTTTTCTGAGATGCCCTCTGAAAGGCACATATCTCTTTGGTGACTCAGGAAGGACTCTCAGAGATTAGGGCGAGTTACAGCTCAGGATGCAGTTTGCATGTCTGCACTAGCAAGTGTTGGATTTTGTCTCAATCAGTAAGACTGAAATTGCAGCAACTATGCTGGTAACCCTTTGCTGAACATAAAGGCAGCTAAGATGACTTGCTCAGATGTAGACATTACACATAAGATGTTTGTCAGATCAAGCAATCAATTAGTCAGATCAATCCCACCTCACATGCCTACAGTACACCTCAACAAGTCACCTCAAGAACTCTTTATAATCAATAGGGAGAAATCTGCAGTATGTATCATCTAATCCTAGAGGAAATGTTTAAACAGGTCAAATGAATCATACTTGCATTGACTGGCTGGATCTCAGGTATAGGATCTGCAATTTTAGATGTCTAGAGCTGGCTGGAATGAATACCACATACATGTCTGAAGTTGTGTGTTCATTCTTTACAGAAATCTATTAAGAGTCATACAGAGAGTATCTGGCCTTTGAGTTCAGTGACTTCCAAACAGAAGGGAGCACAGGAATTTTTGCCTAAACATTTATATCCCTGATAGCGTTGCAATGGTGGATTCAGTTTAGAATTAGAGGGGAGGAGTTATCAAGTTCTCATTTTATCACTGGAGAGCTGGATCTTTAATCTCAGTATGTAACTGTGCTAGTTGACCTGACTCCATGGTAACACTGTGTGTGCTGTGCTTAGACATCTGTAAGAAAATGGGAAAAACTTGTAATATTGTGGTTTTATCTCAACAGGTGATGTTTCCCCTCCTCCTTCTACTGTAGTTGGACATACCAAAACCTTAGCTAAAGTTACGTTCAATCCCAGTGTTGTCGAGCAAACCAGGATTGCCCGAAATGGCATTTTGGGAGACTTCATAATTAGATATGACGTCAACAGGGAGCTGAGTGTTGGGGATGTTCAGGTACTGTATAGATGACCCATCTTTTCTGTTTTATTAACTATACCTGAGGTGGCTCAATTGTCTTGCATGCTCCAAATGCCCTGGAAAATGCTTTCCAAGTGAAAGCTACTTCTCCATCTTGTAAGAAACATGCAAACCAAACCCAGTCAGTCGGCAGCCACAAGATGGACTTAAAAAACCACAGATACCTACTTCACTGAGTTTCTTTTTTTGTATCTGTTTTTCAGTTTCTCAATATACTGGCTGTATATATCTGGATACAAGGCCGGTTCCCCAAATGCATGTTGTGGTTCTGATCCCTGGTTATGTACGCTATATCCTTACTGCATTTGGAAGGAAACCCCAATGTCCACCATGGAAGGAGATGTGGAGAGCTCCAGTAGGCTCCCCCAGTCTGGATAAACAGGGGGCCAGGATTAAGAGGGATACCAAGTATCACTTACATCCTCCAATGTGGACACAGACATTGAAAGCAGGATGAGGTGTTCCCAACCAAATACCCCATAATGATGTGTGTGGAACATTGCAGCATGATCTGTCTTTGATTCCTGACTTCCTTGCTTTTCCACAGATTCTTAACGGGTATTTCGTGCACTACTTCGCTCCCACAGATCTTCCTCCACTGCCGAAGAACGTTGTCTTTGTGCTTGACAGCAGTGCTTCCATGGTGGGAACGAAACTGAAACAGGTGAGGTCTTTGCATTTATTAAAGACTGGTTGGCTGTAAGGCTGGTTCAGAGAGCTTGGTTCAGAATTCATCTCACCGGATGGATTCTTCTGCAAAATGTTTATGTCTGAGGTGAGAGGAGGCTCTGAAGAAACCTCAAGGTGAGATGATTTACCTGCAATGAGAAATTATCATGTTAGTGGGAATGGGATGGGAATAAGAGGTGCAGAGGACTTCATCACTCTGTAAAAAAGGTTGTGCTGTCAAAACTGAACTAGGATGCTGCAGATAGGACTGTTCTGGGCAGTTCTGTTCTGGGCAGTTTAAAGAGAGGCAGAATAGGGAGAATTCCCAGCAAAGTGCATTCAGCAGACCACTGTATCCAGCAGAGAAAAAATACTACTGTCTTTACATCACCTTGGCAAAACCCTTAGCAATGTAACACTCAATGGGTTCTGTTGAAAGAAAGGTCAATTTGTCCTGTTTGAGAATCTGAGTTTTTCAGGACAAATCTCAGACATTTTTCCAGGGCACAGGTCTTAACATGAGCCAACATACCAAGCTGAAGGGCGCATTGATAATGCTTGAAATTGACCTTTGACATGGAGGGGTCAAGCTGGTGCCTAAATGTTTTTGCTTCTTCAATTCTCTGAGCTGGACAGATGGAAACCATCTCCAGTTCAGGAGCCAAGTAGCTGGCTTGGAAAGGCACTGTGCCTGGGGGAATATACTTTTTTTTTCTCAGCACAGCATTAGAAGTCTAAACTAGAAGCAGACGGTGCCTGGGGAAATCTACTCTCTTTCTCAACACAGTATTATCAGTCTAAACTAGAAGCAGAGATGAATTAAGACTTCAATACTGTTCTGAATGATTTGACAGATATCTGTCAGGTCTGCTCTCACACTGGAGAGGTAAGTCTAGTTTCCATCTTATATCTGTGCAGTAAAGGAGAAAAGTCCTGGTAGCGTCAGTGTTGTTTCCTTCCATTTGAAGACTTGCCCCACAGGCATGAGATATGGACAACTTAGTTGGCTTCTCTCTGCTGAATGGCCACATTTTTACCTTCTACTTTCTCACCATGGCTGAGCTAATAACAGTGGAAAGTGACACTTTCCACATGGGTTGACACCAATATGGGGCAGCTTCAGCTTGTATAGATGGTGTCCTGTTGTAACCCTACTAGAATGACTGAAGGCCAATGGCTTGAACTCAGCCAGTTAAGGAGCTGGTATTTTGGCCAGTTAAGGAGCTCTAATTAGTCCATTCAGGTTCCTTGGTCAACTGCCTGGAACATGGTGATATTCCCGGAAACTGTGGTTATTTAAGAGCCTTTTTTTTTCCCTTGACAACCGACACTAGCCCAAATGTCCTTGACAAACACGGTCATTCTCTGACAGTTCTCTGTCTTTGAACAAGGACATTGGGGCTATATATGCCTTTCATTCTCTGCTAAAAACTTTACTGTCTGGTTGCAATGGTGATCATAAATCTTAATTTAGAAGCCCTGTCCCTTATTAAATCAAATTATCTCCACTGTGAGCTAAAATGGAGTATGACTTTTATGGCTCCTAATTACCTTCCCCAGTGACTGTAGCAGAGCAGCAAACAGAGTTGTCAACAAACATACCTGGTACTATGCTGAATCAGGTCTTCAATGAAGATGCCTTTGAATCTTTACAAATTCCTGTGGACAGAGCCTGGCTCTTGGCTTTCTGTTATCCTTCTGCTGAAAATTGTCTGCCTTGCCTCACCGAATAAACAGATACTGTACAAATGCACCCAGTCCCGCATGCTGAAAGCAGGCAGTCAGCGATACAGCACTGAACCAGGGAGATTAAGACTCTGAAGGGCTTTGGTGCTAGTGTTTGCTGCACAAGTAGTGCCTTGGGTCAGCAGATTAACCTCATACTATGAAAGCTTTTATTCTCCTCCCGAGCGTATTAGTGTTTCTTTTTTCTTATACTTACTAGAAACAACATGGCCAAGGATTAACCCTTGAAGGTCAGCTTCACAGCCTAGCCAGCTCCTACTGCTATACATACTCAGGCCAATTAGGTACAAACAGCCTCTTGAGCCTGAAGTGAGAATTGTCTAGCCAGAACCTTTGTCAAGGATGTACCCAATTTTTTGCCCTGTTATCTCAGATAGACTCTTTTTATGGAGAACCACTGGTACATTAGGGAGGAGTGCTATATGCAGGAAGCACTTCTCTTCCTCGGATTTCAACTGCTCCAAAAAACAGAACTTCACCTAGTTATGACCTAAACCATAAAACTCCCACACAGATTAGTCAGGGAAAGACCAGAATCTAGGACTGGCTGAATAATATGCCTTCTTTTGGTACACTAAGAAAGTGTGATCAGTTACAGCCATGGCCCATGTCTGCTCAGTGGCCTTTTTACCATTGGCAATTGTTGTTGTTATTAAGATATTTGTTAAATTACAGACACGTCCCCTGGTTGCAGGATACATCTGAACATAGGAAATGCCTCCTTTTCTTCTTTTCTCTCGGACTCTTGCAGCTGTGGTGATCTATGGTGGTATGTAGAGAGCTGGGAATTCCCATGGCACTGTCTTTCCTCATTTCTCTCTACCGAGTCACATGCAAGATCAGCTAAAAATACAGTCAGCACTTGTAAAGAGTTCTCTTGCAGGTCAGCTGCGGTAACTATGGCAAAGGACAGTTTTTAGGGTTGTATAAGCAAGGATGAGAAACATCAGCCTTTTCTACAGTAATTTGAGAAGCTTTTGTTCTCTTCAGTCACCTGCCTTCATGAAGTTAATGGCAAAGTGACTCAAATGCAGTTCTCACAATATCATTGTGAGTCTTTTCTCTTTTTCCCTCCTGAGGTTTTCCTTTTCCTACACGAATTTTTATCTGTTTGTGCCATCCTTTTCTTCCTAAGACATTTCAGTCTTTGAAGAAACAAGATGTCCAGACCCAGTTGCAAACACAGATAGTGAGACTGATTGGTCAGCCTAAATCAAATAATTAAGACCCTTGAGATATTGCCTTCACATCACTGAGACATACATTAGCTTTGTGGGAAAGATCAGCTAAGGTGCAGATTCCACCTGCAGTTTTCATAGCCTCTGGAGCCTGGTGATGTCCAGCAGACTCAGATGTGTTGCAGCAGTCCACCCCCACTGAGAATCTGGGCCTTTGTGACTGTCACCTTCTAGCGCTGTCAGGGACATAAAGTTCAGGAAGAGAAAACTCTTGAGCACACTGATAAAATTCTTCATGTCTTCTAGATGTTGCACATACTGCTGTCTCACTCGGAAGGAAAATACTGGTTCTGTCCTCACGAGCTTTGTTCCTTCATTTGCAAAGAGGGAGTCAGCTCTGCGCAGATTAGTTGCTTTTAACAGGAGCCAGAAGAGCCTGGGGAACACGTTATATCTGCAAGGTTTACTGAGAAGCAAAATGGTTTGCCCTTTGAGCAGTCTGACCTGCTGATTTTTAGGGTAGCTTTGGCCAGGTAGAGGGGGACATAGCAGTTGTTCGTTGGTATAACTAGGAGAAAGAGGGGCCAGTTCTAGGTTTGCCACCTTGTGATTACCATGATTACCCCCAGCTTCACTAAACATGGTGAAACAGGACCTTTATCAGCCTGCCGTTGAGTGTTCTAGAACAAGCATGTTCCAAGCTACGAATGTGTCCACAAGAGGATGGATTTGCAGATGTTTTGCAGACATGAGGTAAAACGTAGTTGTTTCAACCACAGATTCATTTCACCTTACCTTTCCCACAGGCAATAAATGCCCACACACTCAGTTAAAGAGTTGGCTGCACCGCAAGCCTGGCAACTTGTCAACGGTAGCATGCCAGACTGTAATCTTCTTTGAGGTTAATTGCTCTAGGAGGAACTCAACTGAAGTTGGGACCTGCTGCGTATTTGCAAGTGCTTCAGTTTATTTGCCTGCACCCACCCAAGGGACAGTGTTGGTACCCATGATCCATGACCCACACACTCTGTCTGAGCCTTTCTGAGGGCCCAAGTGCCTTATATACACATATCCCTAAACCACTGTGCCTCAGCACAGACGCCCTCTGAGTAGTTCCAGGGTGGTGAGAGAGCAGACAAGAACCTGAACACTCAATGTTCTCACTCCAAACTCCATGGACTTCTGCTGGTTGCCGCAGAGCTGGCCATGAGCCTGTTGGCTACTAGTCCAAATAATGGCTGCTGCCCAGGAGAGCTACCTTAAATCACCTGGGGATGTTGGAAAAAATGCTATTTCTAATGACAGCCTTTACTATGTTTAAACTACTGCGAAGAGGAAAGATTTGTCAGCTTTTCCATTTCTATTGGAAAGCAACAACCTGAGTGAATGCAGAAGAACTGTGTGCAGTGTCTCCAGCACCGACAGCTTCATGCAGCTGCCTCCCACTTGGGAATACACAACAGCTGTGTCATCTCAGTCCTCTCTATAGTTGTGCATATGGACTATAGGAACTACGACAGTAAGTAAGATGTCAGATCCATATAGACTGTGATTGCCCAGCTTCCTAGAAAGGTGCAAGTACATGTCATGCAGCAAAATAATCTGCCTTCCCCAAATCCTAAAATTTATAAGTACAGAGAAACAAGTAATCTTCAGAGCAAGGTGCCCACCGATGTTCAGGACAGGGAGCATCTGCTTTTGGTCTTAGGACTAACAGCCAGCATGCCCCCAGCTGATTTGCTGCATGCTGAGTGTGTTGGGTTGACCCTGGCTGGACACCACGTGCCCAGCAAGCTGCTCAATCACTCCCCTCCTCAGCGGGACAGGGAAGAGAAAAAATATATTGAAAGGCTCATGGGTTGAAATAAGGACAGGGAGAGATCATTCACCAGTTACCATTCTCAAAACAGACTCAACCTGGGGAAATTAGTTTAATTTATTGCCAATCAAATCAGAGTAGGAAAGAATAAAAAAAGCCAACCCTGAATCTTAACACACCTTCCCCCCATCCCTCCCTTCTTTTTGGGCATAACTTTACTCCTGATTTTCTCTGCCTCCTCCCCCCGAGCAG